CTGATTATGAGTAGTCGTAAATGTGCGTTTGCAGGCTTCCGTTTTTGGTCAGATATAATTATGTAACCGTACCTAGAGTAAAGAAACCTCAGCCTCCTGTAATACGGGACCGGTGGTAATAGGGGTTTGTACAGGTGGGGTCGGGGAACGCACAGACGAGGAGGTAAAGTAACTGTGTGCAAAAGAAAAGCTATTGGGACTGCACGGTTTTACGTTGAGTGGTTGGGAAAAAGTTGCCCTAACCATAACCCTGGACCCTTTAACTCTAGCCATAACCCCAATCCTTAACCGCAGCCCTAAACCCTAACCCTGAAACATGACCGTCCGCTCAATACTCGGTGCCGATACTCCGCCTAGGCGGAGTAATCAGCGATTCGGGGAGCGCGCAAGCTAACACAGTTCCCACTGCCAGGGTTGACGAGTCAGATGGTCGAGCAATCATCATACTAACATCCAACACTCGTGATGAAATTTCAGTGACTAGGTTCTCGAATGTCGGCCATCGAACAGTCATCACACAAAGTGCAACAATCCCCGATGTATTGGGGGAGCCGCGAATTTTTATAGGTATGCGGTGGCATGGCGGCTGCATCCTATAAATACCGCAGTCCCTTGTGTGCTATTGTCTCTGATGATGGGTACGAACAGGAGTCCGAAGCGTTGGGTGAATGAGGCTCTTGTGCCGGCGATCGTGTCTCCTACCTCGCGACTGTCTCTTGGGACTCATCTCTTCGCCTCTATGGGACTACCTAATGTATCTTGTATGCATGCTTTCTAAAGACATTTCCATAAATCCCTACCCGAACCGGCATGTTTCGCAAACCGGCTTAAAGAATTTGACGAAAAAAATCTATGAATCTGCCAATTCTTGTTAAAATCGGAATATTCTAGCATTTACATCCTAAATTTGGTGATGACATCCCGCCAAACACCTGTTATTATGAAAAAAACAATTTACTGCAACTGCTGAAATAGGTATAGATGAGCGGCGTACGAATTAATCAATGTGCTACAGTTATTTTCTGCCCCTTCGGTGTCCAAACAGGGGTACAAATTTTAGAATGGGAAGGACGCTCCACGGGTCTTGCTGCACATGGCGATCGCTCCGTCCAGCACGCGACTGTCACTTAGCTGCCCCTAGTAGCCCTGTGGTAGTCTGCTGTCGCGATCGCCAGAGCGACCGCTCGCCTGTGCCGCCTTTTGCCTGCCTAATGTCCCCCGTTAGCCGGTCCCACTAGCCACGCTAGGCTTGGTGACAGCGTGGCGAGGAGCCGTAGTCAATCGACGTCGCGTCCTTCGCCGACTGGCCGCCGTCGGACAAAACCCTAGCGCCCGCAAGCGACTCACCTAGGGGTCCAGGCACCACAGCGACTGTAACACAACTGTCAGAAAGGCTTGCTGCCTCTGCCTGTTGGGCGGTTTGTACTCTCCCTCGCCTAGGTAAATGCTATCCTATAATCCAGCCATCCAGAAGATGAAGATGCGATCACTGGAACAAGAAATTTATTTGTCTGACGTTTCGGATTCTCTCTCGAATCCATCATCAGAGACAGTCGCAGATAAGGGTAGTGGTGGTACAAGGAGTGCAGTATTTATAGGGCGTGGCTGCACGGGACCATATGCGTACTGCAATTAACAGCTCACGCACTCACCGCTGGGGTCGTAGTTGATGCGGTGGTGGCTTGTCGGTCCGAGTCCGAGTCGTTAATTGCCGCGATTTCGTCACCCCTGCTGGATGCTGGTGTGACGATTGCTCGGCAAACTGGCTCACTGTCACCGTGATGATTGATCGCCCGCGCCCTCTCCACGTGACTGATTCTCCTGCCCAGGGAAAATCGCAGTACGGAATAGGGTACCGGGAGGTCATTGTGCTTGTTGATGGATTGCGGGCCTGAGTACCACGACTCGAGCAGCTCGCGGCTCACGCGGTTGCTCCAGTCATCGCAGATTCTTTTTCTGATCTGCTTCCTGGTACTCGCCTGTTCCTTTCTGACGTTCGCTTACTCAAATGCAAGACAACTGGCGAATCTATGGTAAAACTGGTAAACTAACCTTCCCAGTGTTGCCTGTAAAATTTACGTTCGAGCACTGCCTAGCCGTCATGATTTACATTCGAAGTAAATAACCCTCTTTGAGAGTCCGTTTGTGTGCTGGAAAAAAGTCTTGAAACCACCAATATTATCTTCATAGTCCGGCAACTGCAGCAGAGTATTGAAGAATGTGAATCAGTCCCAACGCCACCGTCATGGATCCCGCCGAAGCCGTAGATATGATGAACTGAGATGACCTCCGCGAGGTAACGAGGCCATTTACACTGCTTGCACAATTTATGCTAATGACCAGGTCGCTTCATGCCGAAATAATGCGATGTGAGTGGAGTGAAACAAGAACTTAATCACGTCTCAACCATTTTCAGCCTAATGTTCCGAGGAGAACCGGTAGCGCATCGATCTAAACCATCCATTCAACGTACGTTGTGGGTTAAAGAGTGATAAAAACCCTCAAGATGGGGACATATGACATTTGGGGCATCGCCCACCACCATCACCAGCGTGTTGACCTCGACAGCCTTCCAAACAATGGAGCGTCGTCAACTCCGACAGTTCGACGATATCCACCATGTGTTCCACAGTAAAGCGAAAGCAGAGATGTTGATTTGCGCAGAATCTACTGGACTCTCTCCTCCCCTCTCTGGGCCCGGTGAGAGAACCAAGTCACGAAGACCGGAGGTTGGAGAGGCCACAGGTTGTTGACACAGCGAAAACCCGCACCCAGGCATATCACCACACCTCCTGGTCCACAAAAAACATTTGAACAGGATTTTCAACAATAACAAAGTGGAAGCGACACGGATTCCAAATGACACGCCGTGAGCCCGCAGTTGGGCTTGCCACCGCACCCCGAATGTTGGCGTTTGTTATGGATGTGCATTCCCGATAACGCCTAGCAGAGTCCGATATAGCCACCGTGTTGGTCCAGCGCATTTACCGCGTGGCCCGTTTTAGGGGCATAAGCCGTCACTTCCAATGTCTTCGAAGGATATTAACGATGGAGAAGCAGATACGGATAGGGGACACCTAAGTGTTGACTACGACTACTATACCGAGAATCTGCGTTAATGCCGCCGCAAACGAAAAGACAGGCTCTAGGAAGCAAGAACTCTATGCGTCTGACGTTTCGGATTCATACGCGAGCCCAGCAGCAGATGAGGGTTCTGTGGTGCATAAGGGCTGCAGTATTTGGAAGATTCACTTGCTATGCCGCCGCTTCTCTGTCAAAATAAGAGATTCCAGCGTACATCGCAGATTGCTGCACTCGGTGCGCTAACTGATTACTCATTCTCATCCGAGTAGTTAATTGGCGTAATATCACCACCTTTGGTGGTTATTGGCCTGACATTAAGTCGGTCATTTTGTCCATTGACATTGGCACTGGTATTTGCCCGTGCGTGCCCCGCGTGATTAATTACCTCACTCAGACAAAGTCATAACACGGGATAGGAGGCGGAGGTGATTACGCTTGTTGACAGGCTGCGAGCCGGGGAACCATGGCTTAATTAACCCGCAGCTCACGCGATTGTTACCTCTCGAGTGAAATTCGGCCTCGTCGAGCTTGACGGCATGGTCGGACCCTCAACCCTTTTTTTGCCACCGGAACGCAGTGGTGAGAAAAATCAGATAACGAGGCATGGACGGCGCATCCAGGATAACTGCAGGCATCGTTGGCAACGAGCAAACTGCAGTCCGAAAGTCCCTCTCGAGATTTTAGACCGAAGTTGCATGAATTTGCGCGCTTAATTTCGAGCTGGTGGGTGTCTCCGACATCTACTTTCTTATCTTGTCCTTTGAGCTTAACTATGGATCTCCAGATCTGATAAACGCGTATTACAGATTTACGGATGTACGCGTGCAGGTACTTTGTGACTCAGGTCACCAAGGGGGGGGGGCATAGAGCTCTAAGAGAAAATGAAAGCTCGATAATTCTCAGATCTGCGCCTCCATGCAGGTGGGCGAAAATTCGATCTCTATATGCCTGGAACTGAAACGCTTAAGCCCGCTAAGATCCGGCACACTTGATTTGTACTTCCTGGGATCCCCGCCGTAACGATTTATTTGGTTTACTTTAGGTAGTTAGGTAAAACTCAGTGAGTCCGGTTCTGTGCAAATGCTTGGAGCTCCGAAGAGAGAAACCTTTTCATCTGAAACCGCAGGTCCTGCCATGGGTTTCCCATGCTTATGCGCCACCAATTTAACGATTACTGGGAAGCAAAGTGCAAGAGAATTTCAAATATTGAATTTGCCAACCGGAACCCGCCCCGTTCTTAAGACTTCATCATACAATTAACAACCGCATGATCTTGGGGCACACTAGAGGAATGTCTTGTAACTGACTCAACCTCGGACAGTACATAGCTCCAGCAACGGACGTTTTGCCTAGCCCGAAAACAGGATGAAAAACTCGCATTTCGTTTTGACCGATTGACGAGGTCAGACGTGATTACTCCAGCTCGCTTTGACACTGCTGATTACAACTCTAGCGCTGGTTGGCCACAGCTACGTGACTGCTGGAGAGGCTTCCAGACCAGAACTTGAATGCAAAATAAAACATCCGCATTTCGCCCGGGTATTGGACCAGCTCAGTGGAGGCCAATCCTTCTTAACTTCTAGCATTTTTGGCCGTAGCATACACGGCGCGAACTCGAGTTTCAAGTGGTAGGGTAGCTGATACGACTAGGGTCTTCCAGGCTTGGGTGGAAACAGCAAGCTGGATATGGTCCCTACAGTCCTTCCCTCTTATCCCCGCCGGTAGTGCTTCTAAAATACTGTTGATATAAGTCTCACTACTTTATATCAGTATACATTAGGTGATAAGCATCCTTGATGAGAAAACAGTAGAAACTCAATGTGAAAAGCAATTGGCACAAGTTACAAACAAGACAAAAGTGAGAGGGGTCAGTCGTAGTCCCGCTGAGATCATAGCATAACCAGGAAGAAAGGGCCCTAAACTGGCAGGGTGGATGACGACTCCCTCATGCCCGGTATCGGCACAGAAGAGACCTTGCCGAAAAATGAGATAATCTGACCACCACTGTAGACAAACTGCCGTAAATTCCAGAAGGCCAGTCCCACCTGAATGATGAGGGCAAGAGCAGCACAGAGGGCACTGCGCCACACCAACACGCCATAGAGACCCATAAACAGGCTGAATCCGTAGACTACGGTGGAGGGAAAGCGCTGGCGGGTTAGGAGACTTTTGAGGTAAGTGCAGGGTCCGTAGGCAAAGGCCAGGCTGAAGAGGAGGGCAACGTTGCCCAGCACATACATTAGGACAAATTTCCGCATGCCCGAGGGAGTTGCAAGTAGGGGAATGAAAATGAGGGAGAACGAGAATAAGAGGGAGGCACAAAGGAGTGAGACAAAGAAGTAGAGTAGTCGCTGGCGTCGTGAAAGGGACCGGAAGATCTCTGGTTCGTAGGAGTCAGAGGGCGTCGAATTGAAGGAGAAAAAGCGACGTACAGACTGGATGCCCGAGGATAATCGGGATTCGGGGTTGAGAGGTTCACATGAGGAAGAGGAGGAGGGGAGCAGGACAGAACTGGAAGAGATTGAGGACTGGTAGCGGCCACTAGAGGCGGGCTTTTTGAGAAAACCCTCGAGCACCGGCGGCAGGGAGTATTCAGACGAGGAGATGGTGCCAGCTTTTGTATTCGGAGCAACGGAACTGGAAGACGTGTCGCCAAAGAATGAACCCAGCATATTCAGCGCGCTTCAGGGAATGATCCAAAAGGGGTCAAGAGCGATGTGCAGGTTCAAGGCATAAGTCAATTGCGCGGTAGCTGAAATGTTTGTTCAACAAAGATTTTCGGGTTAAGCATACCGTAGGCAATGATGAGACTTTTAGGCTGCTGCTCACGGAACAAGTAACGAAACAACCACAATTATAAGGAATTGGGCAGGAAGAAGTGAGGGATCGATCTTACATTTAACAAGAACTCCGAAACTAAGATCATTGAGGAGGGTAAAGAATTAATAGGTAGAATATGAAGGAGTGGCAAATGAAGGCTACTAATTCTGATCGCATACTTTCCCTGACAAGGTAGATCATGGCATCCTCTCTAGTCAGTCTGTCTGTACAAGTTGAAATTAGTATTGTAATGTCGGGTTCTGAGGCATAAAGACCGAAAACGTTCAGCTTATACACGTCACCAGGTAGCGAAAGTCAAGGTTCAACTATGTACAGCCGCATGCATTGGAGGCGGTCATAAACTACTGGCCACCAGTGGGTGTTACTTTAGGGTTAAATACCGCAAGAATCGACAAAGACAAAGAATCTGACAAAGTATTAATGAGGTGCAATATCCTTAAGTTCACTTGCGTCTTCTCAGGGCTGAATTCCTTCGAGAACTCTGCTGAATTAAGTGGCGGACTGGGTCGCCCAAGACGCGGTGGCAGACCACCTTGGCGGCGCGCGGACCGTGGTCTGCGTACTGTGGGTTTGAGTGACCTTTATGACACTGCTGGTGCCGATGGGCTCCTTTGCAGGCGTATAACATGGTGTCTCAGATGGACGCGTCGGAACCCCTGGCACTAGGATACAGACAGCTAAATGCCGAATTTCGAGTATTCCAAGGGCTCCTCAAGGTGGCCTATCTTTGGGAACTTGGAGCATAAACAGCGCGCTCATAAGATGCCCCCCGCGTGGAGGTTTTCTATAGAAAGTGTGTGAGTTATCGCCGAAGACACCTTTTTGATCGTCCTACTAAGACAAATGGTGAACGGCGCCGACCTGAGAGGAAGCATTTAGAGGCTAACAAAGCCCGCGTTGGTTGGAGATTGCGTAAAGGGAGTTAACTGCTGACACAGTGAAAGTTGGCTCCAAGTGTGTCTCCGATCCTGCGGCCTACCGTTAGCGTGACTATTGCACCAACTGGTCCAACATAACTCAGGAGTCGGCCAATGACCGGCTGAAGAGGAGGGTGATAATTTTTGATGTGATTAAACTGCCTAGAGGATTCGGTTGGATGAATCGCGGTAGATGCCGTCACAAAGTAGATGGCACGACGGACAATTATCTACGCAAGTTAGTGAAGTGGTACATCAATCCATTCCCATCCTAAATACTAACACAGTATTTAATTTAGGGGATTAAGACCGAACAGCTCAGGCCCATTTCATCTAGCCAACAGATGGTGATGAAGTGCTTTGTGGCAAACACTAGGAAAGAGTTGAAATATTTAGGCTAGAGGCGGGTCTGCCACGAAATATGACTGGTAGTATAAAGTCAATAAAAATGTTAATGCCAACAAAAGGGGAGGACGAAAATTGTTTCATTGCAAGATAAGCTGATACCCAGGAGGGTCCAGACGTTCTTCTGTCCGAAAAAGTCAGTTTCCAATTTAAAACTGCTCACACCTGGTTCTGCAAGTGGGCAAATGGTGCACGTTCGCGCACCAGATTTCCCAAATACTTAAGCCCAGTAAGTAACTTTCAAGTTATTCAGAACGCAGTAAGTCAGCAAAACTCGGACGCATTGTTCGACTCATGGGCTGGGAAGTTGGCAGCAGCTTGAGCGTAGAAGTTAAGTTACTAGAGCACAGCCATTCTCTGGATCGCAATCAAGAAAAACGCCCTCTAAACTTGATAAATCCCATGGGGCCTTCAGTCGGTCGTTGATAAGTCTGTTTTAAAAGTACGTGTACCACCCCTGAGCGAAACAGAAGATTGCTATGGCACAAACCGCAAGATAAAGGATTTTCCAAATACGCAAAGACGCCTACTGTGACAAGATCTTGCCGTGCGGAGAGTGACAAGTGCCTTTTCCGGCATGCAAGAGAGATTCATTAAGCCTCCCTTATAAGAAAACGATCTGATGCGCACAATTTGTCTTAGCACCCTAACGCTAATGCAGACGTGGACTCAACTGAACGCGATCAGGCAGAGATGTGCGCTGTGCCAAACTGTGGTGCCTCATATGGACAGTCTTCATGCCACGCGCTTTTGTGACGGTGTAGTGCTCATAGCGTGGAGTAGAAGGCCAAAAAGAAAGGGAAACGATCAAAGCTGTAATACACGAGTTAAGCAACGCATTTGTCGATAAGGAGAATGAACTGAGGGCTGGAAAGTATGCAGTACCAGGAAATAAGACTTCCAAACTGATATGAACGCTGGCAGAGCGGAGCTCGTAGATCGTTCTTTTATGGAACTCCTTCGTCGCGTTGTGTTTTAAAGCTCTCCCTCGAGCTCAACCAGCAGCCGCACAGCGGCGCGTGATTTAGGCACATTAACATTATCGACAAATACAAGGGGGACTGGAATGGCCACTTCTGGCTCATTAGCCGTCGTCAGTCATACCCAACCTCGAGGTGTGGAACACCTGGGGCTCGACCCCGCGACCTGTTGGTTTGAAGTCCAACGTTATTTCCTGCAGGCTTTTAAGCCCGATTTAGGTACGGAATGACTTCTGTATGCGGATAGTTCTGATATCACCCACAGAAAGGAAAATGGAAACGGATGAGCAAATTGGGCGATGGCTAAGGTCATTTAGTCGTTGTATGGGCATCCGCAGGTCCACAACGTTCGAGCAGACGTTTGCATGTTCGGTGACAAAAACCATCAAAAGTACCGCGTCGTAATAAGTTAATGGGGCAGCTCTACAGGCCTTATGGAAGCCAGGCTGATTATACTAGGAGTACTGTATGTCTCTTTGAAGTAAAGCAGATTAACGATGAGAGCGCCTATGCCGAACATTGTGGCGGTAGGCACCATTACCATATCAAACCGGGTTAACCAAAGTATTGATACCTACACTGATTATTCGCGTGGGAACATAAAAGAAGTGACTATGTAGACAAGTCTAACAGACGGTTCTATCAGAGCTGGGAGCCACCCTGTGTGCACAGACTGAGCTGCGTGGTCGAGGGCTTATTCGAATATACGGTGAATACTCTCACTGGAGTTGGTACTGATAAACAGCACACGCTAAAGTTCCTCACAGTTGGCGCTTATAAAAAAGGCAGGACATCTTTCACTGAGGAGACAAATATATGGAGCAGATATGGGTATACACAGTTCGTTTTAAGGGAATTAACTGCAGAGTTCACGCGGTCCACTTCCATTTCTTTTCGGAATAACACAGACTGGACAAGATTTGAGAAGAGTTTTGAGATGCGTCCTTGTGTCACAAGCTCCCTCAAACCCCGGACATTTTGTTGCGCAGGACAACCCAACTCAGGAAGGCGGGCTGCCCGTTAGCCTAGCTGCTGGCTACCCGGCGCGTCCACAGGTGGCGGATAGTGGGACGACATTCAGTGAAGGTTAGCTGCGAAATGAGCAGGCCCAGGTCTGACGAATAAGCAGTCGCGGACCAGCAGCGACATTGCTACAAGGGTGCGGTGGGCTGAAGTCTGGCAGGCTGAATGCCTTATAAAAGGCCGCAAAACCCAGTGAGGGCATTGTGACATGGCGACCGTAAACCGTCATTAAATAAGTTTGCTCGTCACCGCTGCCTTGTGGCTAGGCTTTTAAGCCAAAGCGCTAGAGGAGACAACCTCTAATAAACAATCCGAGCGGCTGTTGAGGATCCGCCCGTATTCAAAATTTCCAAGAAACCTCATGAAATATGTCCGATCACAGTATTACGACCCATGCTACGGCGTCCGCAGGAACCGACGCGCTCCGCAACCCTGGTCCAGTTGCGCGGGCGAAAAGTATGCGAGCTGGACTACTCAACCGGGGACGGACTCTCAGTATTGGATGGTGGAATGTACGAACGTTCCTGGACCCCCGTACTCAAAGTCTGACCGCACACAGTCTTGATCAGTACAACGTGGATGTCTGCTGTCTGTCCGAAGTCCGACTTCCTGACACAGACTCCCGCGAAATAAAGATCCCTGGAGTCGAATCAAACTTTACCCTGTACCACAGCGGCTCGCGCGACTCTTCTGGTCGACACGGTGTGGGGATCACCCTATCACAACAAGCGGACCTCGCGCTAATTGTTTGGGAACCAGTCAATGACCGGATGGCCTACGTGCGACTGAAGGGTCACTTCACGAACATGTCAATCGTCTCCGTGTACGCACCAACTTCGGCTGCCGAGCAGCGCCATAAAGAGGCGTTTTACTCGCATTTGCAAGCGCTATTTGAAAGACTGCCTCGTCGCGATCTGCTGATTGTTGCTAGCGATTGCAATGGTTGAAGTATACCTGGCGACCCCACAACCAGTCATGTTCTTGGTCGCTTTGGGTTTGGTTCCCGATGTAAAAATGGTGAGAGATTGCTGAACTTCGCTGATCGAAACCGACTGCTTGTCACCAACACATGCTTCCAGCATCGCAAAAAACATCCGCTGACCTGGTATTTAAACGACGGTCATACAGCCAGTCAGATTGACTACATACTAGTCAGCTCAAGGTTCCGCAGCTGGGTTCACGATAGCAGATCGATGCGTGGTGCCAAGACTGGTAACGTCCATGGGTCGGACCATGTCCTCGTCCGTACACGCTTGAAAGTTCATCTCTCATCCGCGCCAAAAATGCCACGTCCTAGACACCTCAATATCGCAAAAAATTAGGCAAACCAGCACTGTTGAGCTTCTGATCAAAGAAATCCGGACCTGTTTTACGATCCGAGCCGGCGGAGAAGGCAGTAACCAGTGGTCATCACTGAAGACGTCAGCCTATGGGGCAGCTGAGAAAATCCTCGGATACACCCAGCGACGCCGCAGTGACTGAAACATCGGAAGAACTCTGCAGTTG